AAAAAAGCAGCGGTCCAAGAATTGACCCCTGCGGAACACCGTGTTTGATCTTACCCCACTCTGAGGTCCTCTTAACTTTTACAGAGTTCTCTTCAATAAGGACTCTTTGATATCTGTCTTTAAGATATGATTTCATTAACAAGTTAGCACTTCCAGTAATCCCATAAAATTCTAATTTCTTCAATAATATATCGTGATTAACACTGTCGAATGCCTTTTCTAAATCACAGAATATACCTCCCACCACAGACTTGCTGTTCCATGCTTGTAGAATGTACTTTAATAAAGTAAATATGGCTTTCTGAGTGGAGGAATTACTTCTAAACCCAAATTGATCTGTAGATAATATATTATTATTAACGACATGTTCTAATAATCTTGCTAGTATAACTTTCTCAAATATTTTTGAGAAGGATGTCAATAGTGAAATTGGTCTATAGTTCTTAATATCTTTTTTATCACCCTTCTTATAAATTGGTTTTATTATGGAATATTTCAATCGAGATGGAAATTTACCTGATAAGATTACTCTGTTGCAAATATAATTTAATGGGGCAACAATATATGGAGAGCTTATTTTTAGTATTTTGAGGGAGATTTCATCGTATCCAGATGAATTTTTAGGTTTGAGATCTTTGATTATTTTTGCAATCTCCTTAGTCGATGTCCGTTTCAGATCTAGTTTTGGAAAAGGTTTCTTAAAGGCTTTGAAAAGGTAGTCCATACAGTTCTTATCAGGAATATCATTCCTATTTATATTAGATCTTATTTTATCTACTACAGAGAGAAAATAATTCTGGAAAACATCAGCTATATCACTGCGCTTTTCTCTTGGAGTCTCTGAATTATATGCATCTATGAATTGCAATAATCTATTGTCTGATTTTTTCCCTGTTATGGTTTTAACAATTTTCCACGCCATTACCATTTTATTACTTGAATTAGTTATTAGTCTATCATAATTAAGTTTTTTTGCTGCTTTTATTACCTCTGTTAAAGTTCTACAGTATAAATTATAATGCTTCTTTAGATTATTATCCTTATGATTCCTACAATGTAAATAAAGTTCTCTCTTATGTTGACACGAGACTTTTATACCAGTAGTTATCCAATTATTATTTTTAAACTTATCTCTTGTTATTTTTTTTAATGGGAAACTGGTATAGAAGACTCTCAAATAAGTGTTCAGAAAGGTATTAAATCCAATATCGACATCCTCACTATTAAATGTGTCCTCCCATGCTTCATAACTTAGGTTTATTTTGAATTCAAACATGGAGTAGTTATTAATGTTCCTTAACGTTATGCGTGACTGGTTGTAATATTGCTTACCCATATTCTTTATTATTAATAACTGGCCGTCATGATCCGATAAACCGTTAACAATAGAATGAACTGAGTAATTCTTATACTGAGATGGATCAATAAATATATTGTCAATTAGTGATTCGCAACCATGATGACTTCTGGTGGGGAAATCAACAACAGATACAAGATTATATGATGACAGAATATCATCCAGTTGTTGTTTCATATGAGTTTCCTTTAAATAATTGAAGGTGCATTGAAGATGCACCTAGGAATTCAAACTGATGAAGAAATAAAAAGTGGTACCCTTAAGTGGCTGTGCAGTCATGATAAAATTATTTATGCTCCTGACATCAGTAACTTTCCAGGTCATTGGAAAAAACCTGTTAGTATAAAGGAAAAATATTCTAAAAGTAGTGAGTTTGGAGATTCTGGAATATGCATTCTTTTTGTAAGAAATTAAAATCTGAGTCTTCTGAGAACCACCTGTATATGTTCAATGTGATAATAATGAGAAAAGTTCACCTAAATAACATGGCCCTACAGTAATAACTCAGACCTAAAGCATCACTCATCCCATATTTCCTGGACGCTAGAGACAACAGTCAAAGGTGACTGAAGAACCATAATGTATGTGTAAAAGAAGATGATATTTTTATAACAGGCCATACTCCCTTTGGATAATATAGAATCTGACTGGTTTCTTAACTAAAATTTTGATGCACTTCTCACCTATCATGCACACACTACATGTCTCTCACTGTTGGTGAGTTCAAAATACAAAGTTCCTGTTCCTGCAGTTCATCCACCTAGCACTTCCATCTTCTTATGTCCTTATATTCTTTTCAGCACCTTTCCTTAAGAACCCTCAGTTTCTATTCTGCCTTTAATGTGTAAGACCATGTATCATGCTCATACAAAACAACAGGTAAAATTGCAGTTATTTTCATCATTGATTTTAGACAATGTCTGGAAAAGTTTCTTGTACTTTAAGTATCCAACTTATGTTTCCATTACACACTTACAATATAATGAGATACTGTACCTGAGCATCACGTTGTGCTATACACATGTGTAATTTGTCAACACTACACTCATCAAAGTTACATCTTGTGAATGATCATCTACACTAATCATTTAATTAGCAGAAATTTGTCAGAACTTCTTGCATTAAGTCTGCATAGTTGTTCACAAGATGTTATCTTGATTATAAACACCACAAACATGAATTATACATGCATGTGTGTTTTCCAGAATAATATATTTATCATATCTGAGCTGTTTTCACAGTGGATGGAAACATTTCTGCTTCCTTGTCTGCATCATTTCATTCAACTGCATATGCACTCACCATGAAACAGAAATTTTATAAAATACAATTTTAAAATGTTTATTTGACAAGTAGGATGTAAAAAAATGGATGAATCATACACTTTTAAATGTGCTTCATCATGTTACATTATATACTTATTTGAAAAATAAAGATTGAGAATCAATATACATTCCTTACAATAATACAGACTGAATATATAAAAATGTTGCCCACACAATATGAGTATTATCTTTCTTCAAAGAAGCAGAACGGAAGTATGTGTTATTCACTTGGCCATTTCCTACAAAATTATTTAAAAATCGGTGTGAATACACTGAACATACTTCCCATATATGATTTCTTATTTGGGTCTAGTGCATTTAGAGACGATCAAAATTTAATTAAAATTGGTCAAGTCATTTTCGATAAAATCGTAATTTCGCACTTGGGACCCTAATGCATATAGCATCAGTTTTCTCAGTATCCAATCATATTTAGGGAGGTCTCCATGAATTACTGAAAACTAATCAAATTGCTAGAACTCTTTTTCAGAAAATCACAATTATGAGCCACGGGTTCCTGTGAAGGTTTCCCATTTTTGGAGCTAGAATGTTCAATCGGGATCACTGGGTTTTTGGAATTTTCCTCTTGTCCAGTATTCTAAAGAACACACCCTTTTGGAAACTGGATCTCCTTCCATCAGGTTTGAGGACGGATGACACATATTCTGCTGGGGCCATTAGAAAGAGCTAACCTAGGTCACTGGACAACAGATCTGCTCAGTCCAGCCGAGGTCCAGTAAACTACTGCTCCTCACCAACATAGTCATTCCTAGTTTGTGTCCTATTGGGACCCATAGCCATATTTCTGTTCTTTCCAGACTTTCATGTGTTTTGAAATGGGGCCTCCTCTCTGATGACAAGAACGGTCTGACTACTACTTGTCACTCCCCCTCTAACAGGGAATGACTGCTGGCTCTCACTCACTACTCACTCTCCTAGCACTTGCAATTCCACAACAGGAACTCCTTCTCTAACTAGCCAGTTCAGTCCAGTAGATTGCTGCTGGCCCTTGGCAGCACCATACATCAGTAAGAACACAGCTCTCTCTCTCTCTCTCTATATATATATATACCAATGTATAGGACACATGATCTGAAGACTCTCAGGTTGTAACAATACACTCCTACAGCTAGCTCCATCTATGGAAGAGACACTGAACACCAGAAGTGAAATCATAACCATAAAGGGTCTGTCAGATGACACTGACTCTCCTTACGAGTTGCTAACCTCATTTCTCCCACATGGATTCCACACATCAGCAATAAGTTTAGCAACTCATAGGGAAGGTCAGTATGATATGACAAACCCTACATGGGTGTCTATATGATTTTAGTTCCGGGGTTCAATTTTTGTTCCACTGAATGAGCTAGCTGTAGATATATGTGTGTGTTGTTACAACATGAAAGTCTTCAGATTAATCCAGTGCATTGATGTTCATGGATTGGGTTTGTTACATTTATTTCTTACTTTCTTTTCTACCTTACTTGCAAGTATGTACATGGTATAGCTCAGTCAGTGTGGTTACAGGCTGGATGGCACGGGTGGGATTCCCGGCAGTGCAAGATTTTCATCTTCTCAACCTAGTACAGACTGGCTCTGGGGCTCAGCCAGCCAGTTATATATATATAGCAATGTACTGATAAGAAGAAACATCTTAAATTACGCAATTACAAGTTGCTAGAGCTATGAAATGTCAAGCATTAAGACGTTTCCCCACACAAGTTAGGTATTATGTCACAAATGAGAGAGTAGTGTTTTGTGTCTGTGAGTAATAATATTTTGATGTGGGTGTCTGAAGTGCATGGTATATAATGGAGATGGTTTACAATTTACTATCTGTGCAAGTTGTTCATGGGAGACAGTAACAGTTGTTGGGCTCGACGTATCACTTGATACCATGCAGGAAAGCCAGGGAAGTAGATTCTAAAGGGTTCTCACCATGGTGTATGACATTCAGAATTACTGGGTTTTTGGACTCTGACCATCGTCCGGCATTCTAAAAGCTAGAGAAAGCAACGTTTCAAAAACTTGATCTGTTTCCGTCCTCAGGTGAGAGGGGACACGCCTACTCTGCTGGGCCCTTTAAAAAGAGCTAAGCTTAATAATTTGATGTACTTTTTAGAATGCTTGACGATGGACTGAATGCAAAAACCCAGTAATTCTGAGAAGGGGGGAAGTTAATTTTATGAAAGGTTTTTTAACACACGAATTCTCAATGGGTACTAACTACACTAGTGCTACTTAGGTGAATTTTAGGTCTCAACAGGTAAGGAAAAGTCCCGTGAACTTACCAAGCAAGGTCCGTGGCTGCAGAGTGACGGTGCCTGTATGGATGTACTCTATGAGCTGGCGGAAAACATCTGGCTCGAACTCCTCGACCATGAGGGTGCTGTGTTGACCCCCCTGTGGTTTAGACTAGTTAAGAGACAACAAAGATGCCTACTAACCAAGCAGCGTTCGGGGCTGTAGTGTCACGCAGCCAGTGTGGATGTACTCTATCAGCTGACGAAACACATCTGGTTCGAACTCCTCAATGATGAGCGTGTGGTGCTGGTTCGACTGCGGCTGTTATCAACAGGCTATATGAAGTCTCTACTCCACACAGTGGTGGACAGCGACTTTTCTAAGGCACCAGTGCATGTTCACTCCAAAGGTATGGGTACAATTTCTGTGCTCCTTCGTTTGACAGCTAATTTATTAACGCTATGAGAGCCAATTGTCAATTGAGCTTAAGAATTTTTCTTAACTGTAGAAAAAATATTGTAAATCTTAAGAAAAATGATTGTAACTAACAGCATGTGACATCTATTGGCAATTTACCTCAACTATATGGTCAAGGAACATGTACTTGTAGAGGGAAGTTTTTTCTTTTATTTGATTATATATTTCAAAGTGTTTTGCTTGGCACTGCAGAAATTATACACCATATATTAGGGTTAAGTATCAAACATCGAATTCCCACGTCACATTGGGAGGTATCAGCTCACTTGAAATTCACTTTTCAGTCAACGCTTTATAATTAATTCACTAGAGAGGACGTCTAATAATTTTAAATAAGTTACAGGAAAGATTGAATCCAGATAGGCTCTGTTAAAAGTATAATACACTTAATATTATTGCATTCTGGGGGATTAGTCCAAAGCCTGGTATTGCCAACAGGACAGATCTTGAAAGTAAGTGGATGTTTCCATCCTCATGTGAAAAAGGTGGGGGAGATAAGTACTCGATTTATCCACTGGTGGACGTGGTAATGGACCCAACTAAGTATGAGTCACCCTTTCACCTGAGGACAAAAACATCCAGTGTCCAAAACACTGTGTTCTGTTCAGAGCACTATATGACTACTAAGTCCAGAAACCCAGCAATTCTAACTATTAAAGAAAGGAGATTCGATATCCAAAGGTTAGTGCACATGGAGTGTTTTTGGGAGATACAAGGTCAGCATCTCATTTGGAGAGGCAACCATCTTGACTGAGGTTTCTCCTCACATCCATTTTGATGTTCTTCTTCTACCTTCTGCTATATATTTCAAGTGGCTGTATTCAAAGAAGGCTATTTTGGGGTATTTCTCATTTCTTGTATCCTCAATCCAAGCTACATGGCCAGCCTACTGGACTCTCCTTCATATTGTAACTTGTAACACCACCATATTATCTGTATAAATAACAAAGTTCGTTACAACTTAAGATCGTAAACTATTCCTATTAGGTCCAACCAATTTCATTCACACTGCATTTTTAGACGATTGCAATTTATGTTAGACCTGAGGTTCTCATGACAGCAGATATAAAGATTACTGTCTTCTGGTACATGCTATGCAGCCATGTTTTCTTGCAGAATGGTGAAGGCGTTTCAAAGGAACTTACTGCCTTCACTTTGTGCCCTGAGCATGGAAGCAGCAGGTTTCGCTGTAACGTTGGTAATGAACTACCATACTATACAGCATTACATCCAAGAAGACAGTGACCTTCGAAATTTTGGATAGTGTAGTCGGTATAGCGACTGGCTAAGGGCTGGATGACCAAGGGTTCAGAGTTCAAGTCCTGGTAGGATCAAGAATTTTCTCTTGTCCACATCATCTAGACCGGCTTGGGATCCACCCAACCTCCTCTCCAATGGGTACCTAGGGCTCTTTCCCCGGGGGTAAAGCGGCCGGGGCATGAAGCTGAACACTCACCCCAAGCTAGCGCCAAGGTCAAGAAAACGTGGATCTATACATCCACTCCCCGTATGCCTTCATGGTGTAGTGCTTAATTAGCTAAGCACAGGGACAACTTTCCCTTACCCAAAGTACTAGATTGTGTCTCCTAAAGATAACAGATCAATGGAAGTCGCGGTACAAGGGCCAGTTTAGTCCTACACCTTACGCATTCAAGATATAATACAAATGGTAAAATGAAGACTGTCTTATGGACGCCATGTAATTTTGTAGCTGGTACCAAGACTTCACTTGGAACCTGCTGCCTTCACCTTCCAGAGAGATGGCACTATGATGTGCCAGGCTACACAGTGTCACGTCCCCTAGGACATAAACTTCATAGATTCTCAGACTGTAAAGCAATTGTTTCATATATATCTGCATTTACTTCTGGCATTACATTGACTGGTTACATATTGGAGAATGTGAGTCTGATTCCCAGCAGGGGCACAGGTCGCCTTTTTCTTTTTACAACTCTAGGCTCATCACTCCGCTAAATGAGAATGAAGTGCAAAGTGAAAAATGTGTGAAGTATTAACCTCTATTCCCCTTATACAACATGATAGCATAGTGCTTAAGCACAGTTTACCTTCATCTTATTAATATTTGGTGTTCTTGGAAGCAAACTAAGTAACAACTCTTCTGGTTAACAATCAAAACAATCGCCTTGTATTATTCATCACAGTATAATTTGACCTGCCGGTGCACAGATGGTCGCCATACCTTGGAATGAGACATACAGCCAGCCTCAACTGGGATAAAACACAAGTTAGTCAACAGCTGGTGTGCCCAAATTGTAGTTCATGCAGAAGTGCCAACCGTTTAGTGCTGTAAAAATTATTCTGAAATCTTAGTGTTGTGTCAGACCTTCCAAGAATGAAACTAGCTAGGATGAGGGTCTACAGGGTCAATCGTGGACAGTTGTCTGGTGTTTATATTTCTAATTTTTATGTTTCATTACTATGGCAGAAGACAAATTTGTTTAGAGATATATGCCATTATAATGCTGTAACTAATCACTCCTCCATTTTGAATAAAAATCTTGACTCCTCCTTACTTGAAAATCTGGCTGTTACTCAGTTGGTCAAGACATTTCTTACATTTATGTTACTCATAAACTGTTTAAAGCACAGTATTAATTATACATACCACCTGCTATAAAATTAAAATCTGTGTTTTGCCCTCACAGAGCATTTGTGTTGCGTATGATTCCCAGCATAAAGAGTGATTATTTCCTAAAACAGTATTAACTGATTAGTCTTTGTAAAGGAGAGAAAGAATGCTTTATATAAGGCAGGAACTGAATTTAAGTATTACTTAGATGATTTTCAGGCTTCAAATGTTTAATTATATTTTGTTTATTGTTTATTGTTATTGTTATTTTGTGGGAGTGTTTTCCAAATTCAGAATATATTGTTTAATATTATCATTCTTTTCCAAAGGAAGAGCATCAATTTGGTAACAGCATAATGACCATAATATCAATAGAAACAAAAATGGCATTCTCAGAAAACAGCAAGCAGAAACTAAAACTAAAAATTTGGGTAACCAGAGCATTTACTGATCTACTGCTATACAAATATCATACCATGCTATCCAAACCAGTCTCTTCCAGAGTCATTATACAGACATTAAGAATTAAATATACTGATTTATTAATTAATTTTAATGTGAAATCACTTATTTTAAACACAGTATTATTTGCAGATGATCACGTATCATTGGAATAAATAGAATGTAATTTAAGAATAGCCATTCAGAAATTCTGCAGAGGTGTTTAACAATGTATATTACTTTGTAAAATGGATTTGCTTCCATAATCATGTGTAGGGGAAATGATCTTCCTTGGCTAAGACCTTTAGAAAGAGCTAGCCTCAATTAATGGATGATAAAGGAAGTTCTAAGCAGTGTACATATTCTGAAAATGACAGATGTCATCAGTGGGAGATAAGATCCCACTTATTAACAGTAACACAACTTAGGTACCAGTCAGGAGGTCAGGGGGAAGAATATTTTGAACATGGTAATAGAATTTTGCATGAGATATAATTTTCAACAACAGACTGAGGAGCTTCTTAAATTTTCAAAACAAGACACGGCTAATTGTGAATAAACAATGCATTATATATTATGTAGATAATAATCCCCTTCCTATTTGCAATTATTCATTTCAGAAATGTTGAGCTTTGCATGCCAGAGTAGTGTATGTATCTAAAAATTTGTATTTAATTACACTCTTTGTGAAACTGGAATGGATGAGTTATTAAAAGACATAATACAGAGTGACTGTTCTATAGAAGAGTACTCCCAGTTATCAACAAATGTTGTCATGTTCAACTGCCCCCAAAGAAATTTACAGTGTTGCTGATAAGAAATAACAATGCATATATGTGAATATGACAACAAGAGATGAAAATTGTCAAGGTGATATTCAAGACACATCTTCCTAAAATGATCACTCTGTATCTTGGGTTACAAAATGGGAGGGGGGGGGGTGCGCTTTATTTTGAAGGTGACGAGTACCATGCACTAATTGAGGGGGTAGCATTCAACCAATATTCACTCAAAAAGACATAAATGTGTCCCATAACTAGATTAACCCTTTAAAGTAAAGTGGTTACTATATGTACCACCAGCTTTAACGCATTTTTTTGCATAAAGTGAGTTTCTAACAATTCTAGCAATGAATATCAATTATTTCCATCAACAGCATTATCAGGATGGTCTTTGTAATGGAGATGGACGTTTTCTGTACAGTAACAACTGAAATTTAACTAAATAATATTTAGAAATTAAATTCCTAATCACAGAAAAAGGCCGCTGCATCTACATTACAAAGATTAAATGCCTAATGCTATTTATGGAAATAATCACTGTTTGTTCCTAGAAGCATATGATGTACAACATATAATTTATGGACGAAAGCAGAGTTTTTCGGTCTTAAAGCTAATGGTTAATATAGTAACCACTGTACTTTAAAAGTTCTGTGTCATATTATGATCTTCATCAACAACTTCTTGTAAGCTTTACAGAATTTAGGGGTGAAAGTCCAGTTTGCAGACTTTCACTGGATAACTAACAATTTGTGAAACAAAAGGAATATCAATTAATACTAAAACAGGTATGTCTTTGTGAAGTTTGGTCACACAGTTTTACTTTTTATAGAGACACACACACACACATATATACTGTAACAACTTTGGAAAATTCTGTATACATAACAGACAGGGAATATCAACAAACTGGATGAGAAGTTCCCCAGAAGTCAACAGACATAATTTATTTTCTTTTCAATTAATCTACAGAACTTAATCTACAAGGAGTTGCTGTGGAAGACAGAAGTCCTCAGGCCATGTCAAGGGGATCCACTATTATTCATACCAGTAACAGTTCAGCAAGTCAGTGTTAAGAATCCAGTCACTGCAATTTCTTAGGTTAGGTGAGACTGTTCATGGATTGTTGCTTCTTAGGCAACTAAAAATTACAGTTTTAACTGATATCTGTCTCAAATTCACAGATTTTCATGACAGTTCAAAATTAATGTAAACATTTGACTTGGCATTTTGTGGTTGAGAGCCCATGAGAAGTAAAATAGAGATAAAAAATAAAGTGAGCTGCAAGACCACCCATTCAAGTATCATGGAAGCTGAAGCATGCAATGCAGTATAGTCCAGTGAAAGTTCACTGACACTGTGAAATATGTGCTACTTCCATCTTCAGCATTGCAGAGCAAGCCAAGCAAGCAACCAGCACAAAGGAAGGGGGAAGCACAGTGGGAAGATGGAAGCAATACATTCCTCCAAAATGTCAGTGAACTCCTACCTGACTACACAGTGTTGCACACCAGACGATGGTACCGCTGAAGTCCTACCCTTGATATGGATTTGATAAACTGTCAGTATGTCATAACACTCAGCACCAGAGGCATTGCATATGTCACGCAACATCACACATGTCAGCTGTAGGATGTACACTCAGAAAGTAAAATGGTGACAAAAGTGGAGATGTGAGAGGCTAAAATGCCAAAGATCTGAAGAGGAAAGTTTTCAATTTGAGGACGGAAGAGCCATGTGGTTTTCAGAACAAAGTCGATGTGGGGGATGGAAGGAGGAAAACTCTGCAGTTATAGGATTGTGGTTCCAAATGGACTGCCCACTCATGTGTTAAAGGGAACATACTGCATTTTCCCAACTGACATAACCTTCCTTCCAAATATGTCCCAAAAATGAATTTCCCATTACATTCTTATGAGTAAAATTCTGTTATTTTACTAGAAACTAGCATTCATAATGTTGCTACATACTGAAATCAATTTAATTTCTTGAAGAGTTCTATCTTCTGGGATGTAACGCAGTGTAGTTCATTTTATGTCAACCACTGTTTCACAGGAACATGTCGCCTTTGTCTGCAGGCTCAAAGAATAAGGAAATCAAGAGAACAGCATGAAAGGAGGTGGCATGCAGAGCCCAGCTTTCAGGCTTGTTGCTTGCTTGGCCTATTCTTTGAACTGAAGATGGAGGTGACATGTCCCCACGAAACATCAGTTGACTTTTAACGGACTAACACAACAATATATCCCAGAAGACAGAACTCTTCATAACCATTGCTGTGATAACCTCAAATCCTATATAATTTATTTCCTTGTATGCTATGGCAAAATGAAAAACCTTTACTGTCTTCTGGGATGTGACCCCGTGTAGTTTGCGACAGATTATTACTAACGTTTCGGAGGACCCTGCTGCCTCAAGATCCAGCATACAAAATGGAGGCAACAGGTTCCTTCAAGACATCAGTGCATTTCTATCAGACTAAACAACATTATGTCCAGAGAGACAGTAACTTTCATGTTCACTGTTGTGAGAACTTCCAGTCTAATATAACTTTCGGTTTTCTGACAACTGCAGTGTGCATGGGATTAATTGGACCCAGTAAAGTAAACTGGTCTCTGTTCTAAACTAATTAATGAAGATATATGGCACGGTGGGGGTACAGCTCCATGCATTCTTAACCTTGCCACTATATTGGGGGTGGGTGGTCAGATTCATGCTCCTCCCACTTTACCCCAGTCCCACTTTCCACTGGAAGGTGGCAAGGTGGGCCCCAGAGGTGGTCTGGTTCTTGAGAAGGGAAAAATCCGTTGCCCCTGCCAACCCCAATTTCTCAGCCATCAATCCTGCAGCCTGTCACTATACTACCTGAGCTATCCCACCTCCTACTTGGGCATAGCAATACTTGTAAATAACTTAAAGTACTATGTAAGATTTGAGGCTTTCACGGCGGTGACTATGAAGAAAGCAGTCTTCTGGGATTTGGCACCATGTATATGTGGTGCTAACCGACGTTTCGGAGGAACGTATCGCCTCCATCTTCAGGGTAGAAGAAAAAATATAAGAAATCTGCAAGCGAAGAGACCGTGAGAACTGGTAAAAGCAGACTGTGTCTGCAGACACAGAACCACTTCACATGACTAAGGATATGAGATAAGGGAAGGATCTATTATCTTCAGATATTTGGCAAATGTCAGAAAGTGAAGTAACTGTGACAAGAAAGAGAAGAAGGCAGGCACCAGTTCACAGTGTAGTTTACCTCTTGAATTGGAGCCAGCTGCTGCGAGAAGCCACGCTGGGACAACACAGACAACAGGAAGTGTATCAGGCACCATTTAATATCACCAGAAACATAAGAGATACAAAGGGCGGTGACATTCAACAAAAACACTGCCAGGAAAGGAGGTAGGTCACAACAAATTCTCTGTTCTGTGTAAAAGTCATCACTGTGCTGAAAGGTGGTCCACTTCAAGCAACATATGTTCAGAACAAATTAAACTGTCATCTTAGTTTCTGAACTACAAAGAAAAAACCTAACTTCCTGTTTTAAAGGGTTATTCATATACCACAGAAGTAGTGTCCCTTTGTTCTATCTCCAAAACAACACACCAAATTTCGAAATTTGAGTGGAAAGATATTAGATAAATTCTTATACTGATCTGGGGCATGTGACAATGTAATTGGTTGAGGCTCTACACTACAAGCTGGAAGGTCATGTGGTGATTCCCGATGAAATAATTGGATTTTTCAATTTACCTAATCCTTCCAGCCACACTATGGCCTTGGGGTCTACTCAGCCTCTAACAGAAATCAGTATCAGAAATCTTCCTGGGGGCAAAGGGCGGCCAGCCAGCATGTAAGGCCGACAACCTCACCGCCACCTTCTAGCTAATTGTCTAGAAAATGTGGGAGCCTCTACATCTCACAACCTTATGGGCCTCCATGGCCTGTTACAGGGATAGCTTTACCCTTTAATTACCTTTGTCATATGCTGACCTGAACTGGTCTAATAAATACTTGTACATATCTGATATGAAAATAAATCGAACTTCACCAATTTCAAAATGTGGACATTATGTCAAAATTTGTTGAGAATGAAAAATGTGCATGATATAACTTAGGGGTCTTCTTCAGTACTCACCCTAACCTATAATATTTCTAGTTGACCTTCTATCATACGTAGGTTATATACAGAATATTAGATTTAATTTTACCGACCACACCACACGTTTTTTATTATTTACTGTCACACTACATGCTTCGACCTCAAGAGGTCATCCTCAGGTGTATCAATACAGTTGCACAATCACACGCAATCACATTTCGTTTCTCCACTTATTTTTGATCCTGTATCCTGTTCAGGTCCACGCTCAAATAATATTGTCAAGTTCTTCTTATAAAATATAAGTTAAAAAATACAAATGTTAAAAGATAAAATTTAAAATTTAAAATTTAGTTCACTGTAACTAGTTATATTACCACTTGGTTAAAAAGTTCATGAAATAAACTTCAACTCGTCACATTGACAGCACATTGACCAAGTGGTAATATAACTAGTTACAGTGAACTAAATTTTAAATTTTAAATGTTATCCTTTAACATTTGTATTTTTTAACTTATATTTTATAAGAAGAACTTGACACATACTATTTGAGCGTGGACCTGAACAGGATACAGGATCAAAAATAAGTGGAAAAACGAAATGTGATTGCGTGTGATTGTTCAACTGTGTTCGTACACCTGAGGATGACCTCTTGAGGTCGAAACATGTAGTGTGACAGTAAATAATAAAAAACGTGTTGTGTGGTCGGTAAAATTAAATCTAATATTCATTAAAATACACAACAGGATGCAAGGAACAATTAAAGGTTATATACAGGCAGCCCTCCTTCTCACAAATCATTGTGTTCCTGCGGACTGTTTACAAACAAAATTTTGTGATGGAAGTCACTATTTCCTATAGGCACTAGTTTTCATTGTGGATCTCAGTCCCAAATGATGAAGAATGATAAAAAATGTAAACTATCAATTGTACTGGTTTGACTATTATATATAAACATCAGAGACACTACAAACATTGCAATAAATTTGTTACAAACCAGCTGAATCCTACACAAGATGCACACTAGAACAGGGCATAAGGTGAACTGACTGGGCATTGTTATGTCCATTTTTGCATGTCCATTTTTGTTTGGAAACGATTTTAGATGAGCAATTTCACATTTGTATGACCAGCCATGCCAAGGGCATTATAAATATTTGTATGACCTTAATTTTATAATGTGAACCTTCACAAAGCAAGGACTCTCTGTATGAAACCCCCAACAGAACTTAAAATGTGGGAAAACATTCCCTCCAGAAGTACTAACAAATGCCATATGATGTCAGATACAGCAATTTTTGCAGAGACTAACAGTTTTGCAACTTGGCATTTGAATGGTTAATGTAATCATTATTACAAATTGTCAATGAAAAATCCGTCGAGTGTAACAATGTTTTTAGGTTACTTATTTATCTCACTTGCCTTACATGTTTCGGTTCAAGAAAAACCATCATCAGAGGCACGTATTACAAACACATGAAAACACTGGCGTTGTTTAATGTACACAGTATGTAAGCTGCGTGGACGCTGTTACAGATGTCGAAGTGTAAAAGCACAACACTTTCTAGTAACATTGAATGCACGTACAACTCTTGCATTCCATCTGAAAATTGCCCTCAACTTAAGCCGTCAATGTTAAAATATTTAAAAGTTTAAAATATTTAAAGTAAAATGTTAGGCTCCTTCTTGTTAATTCGTCCCGATGATGGGAGATGTCAACTTGAGGTTGTGTAGGCTTATGGTCAGATGTTTCTTACGCGTTGTGTGTTGTGTTGTGTTTTTCTTGAACCAAAACATGTAAGGCAAGTGAGATAAATAAGTAACCTAAAAACATTGTTACACTCGACGGATTTTTCATTGACAATTTGTGATTGATAGTGTAACGGACCAAAAATGAAACAATTCAAAATAATCATTATTGATTACCTTTGTCAACAACAGAATTTACAGCTTTAAGCAGAGATGATTCCATTCTGCTGAGCTTTGTCAAGAAGAGATTTGTATTGCATTTGCAAAGATGAAATGAAAGTCCAGGGAAAGATATAAATTCGCAAGGAAAATATTTGGAAACATCTACACTCCAGAGTGGAAGACTCCTGTATATTCTTGTATGTACTAATCACAGTGTTAATTTGTCCATTCCACAAGAAAGTTGCTTTGGTTAATTGGCCTACCAATCAGAACAAGATGTGAACGTCATAAATGAAGCCTTGCTTCAAATTCTGTTACTCTGTCTTTCAACCCCACCTCTTACAAGGATCAATTAAACATTTCAGAATATGCTAACAGTCCCTTCATGCAAAAATTCTTTCAACCACCAACATAAACATGGTAATCTTGTTTACAGAAATTAAATTTATTCATATGGTAAGGAATACTGGGACACGAATCAAAACAGACACACATAAACACAATGTAATAGTTGCTTCCAAGGCCAGACCAGGAAAATGAAGAGGTGTGTAACATATGTTGCCATAACATCAACCTAAACATTGGTACTGTTAAAGGACAAACATTTCTACATTGAGAACAAGCATCTGTGTGACATAACCACTACTTCAGTTTATCGATTCAAATGGAAGATTTATGTCTTGATAGGATTAATTTTTCTGATGTACTATCTGCACTGAAATGTGACACACGATCATCTAACTACGTATATCTGTAAATGATACAAACTCCGTCCTAAGTGCAAACAATATATATTATATGTCCTTGATCTTGTTCTTTCTACACTACATGTTTCGGCCTCTATCGGCCATCATCAGGTGTATACTCTTAACGTTGCTGCCACACTGAACCCAGTCTAAAATTTAACATTTAAAAACACCATGTCACATTCTTCGTATTATCAACATCTACATCGTTGATATGTGTCTGGTATGTAGATTATGTTGCACACGTCAAATTTGATATTCTTGTAGTAGCACTCTAAAAATCTTTAGTTATGATGTTTTTAAAACCTTTTAAAATTTTCTCTAAATTTTAAATTTAAAATTTAAAATTCTTAGGGTTACTCGCCCTATGTCTAAGTGCTGGAGCGGCTAGTTCTTGTTTTCACACTGTACAGGTGTTATTTAATGTAGTCTTCTTGTGTGGGTGCCGCTGCTTGTCTGTACTACGTGTACTTAGGACGGAGTTTGTATCATTTATCGTGTAGAGCGCAACAGGATGCTTAAATATAATATTGTAAACGTATATCTAGTTTATTTCCTTGTGTTTATTACTCATGGTACTCAGCCCTGAATGCTGCCTAGACTGCTATCTTAAGAGCAGTGGAGGATCTTTAACTACTATATTTTTCCAAAATGTAATGTCAATATGACATGCATAGTGCTTGTTATGGCTCCATACATACATACATACATACATACATACCCTGTGTTTAGTATAGGTTTGAAAATCAGGAATTGTTGTTGTTGCTTCTAACAGCATTCGGTTTCAGCAAGATAAACAGTTGTCTGATGATGGCTGGGTAAGGCTCAAATATGTGGCAAAGAGGAGGAAATAAAGTTGCATTTTAGCCAGAAGTATATGCATGTGGAAATACAGAGACAAATTCATTGTACGAAGTTCTATTGCTTTCAAAATGTACAACTCTGAGTTTGTATGGAGTCAGGATTGCTGAGTCAATAAAATGACTGACTATGGACAAGAAGGCGGTGGTTTTATCCCTAGAAGGCAGGGATTTTATTCTTCAATGCAATTATGAGAGCAGCACTAGGAAGCATATGCCTCGTACTAAATGTGTATAGTAGCCATCCTATGAATCTGGCCACTCATCTCTATGTACCACTCACTCAGTTTCAATGAAATTTGGTACTGTAGGTATATATTAAAGTTGTCATGTGGATTTGAATCTGTTCCACATCAGAAGAACAAATCAAACTTTATCGTTTTTTCAAATGCAGATCATCATTTGAGTTCTTGTTACATAATATAAAATGCAGTTTTCATTAAGATACACAGCTTTTGTTTGGAACATTTGTTTATATCCTGAATAATTATTGAAACACAAGGAAAAATATGATTATTATTTTGAAAATCATCCATCACCTTTAGTTTTTTCTAGCAAAGTGTTTCAGAAACTGGGTCTGTTTCCATCATTAGGTGTAAGGTAGAAAATGGCCCTCCTCAGCTGGGCCCATCAGAAAAAGCTAATCTTGGTCCCTGGACCTGGTCCAGTGACTAAA